GGACCCCTCGGCGCTGGTGGCCCCGTGGTGTTGCGGAACAGCGGCGTGTCCCGGTTTGCTGTGTCCTGCTTTCCAGGTGCCGGTTCCTTCCTTACGTCTGTCTAAAAGCGTCCAACCCTTTGGCAAGAAAGGAAGGCAGATGGGAAAATTTACTGGGTAATTTTTCTCGGGGCTGGCTCGGCTTTCAATCTGCCTCTTTGCCAGTTTTGTCACATCTCCCCAGATCGGCGGAGAATAGTAAAGCTCAAAGTAAACAGGACAGCTTTCGCCATGGAAACAAAAGTTGCTAGGGGATGGATTGCTACTACGTAGGGGCGTGCTTTGGAGCCGCGATCATACATCCCACGTGTTCCTGGGCACCCCGGGTTCAGGCGTGGAAAACTTTCTATGACTGAACCCCTTCCTGCGGCCTGGGTGCGTGCTCTAAGCTGATGTGTAACACAGATTGGGGTAACAGCGACTCTCTTTACAGCAGAAGTTTCCCAACATTTCAGTTTCTCAGCTGTGAAGGTGAGACGTGCAAATATACATCAACACTCGAGAGATCATAGCTGCTGCAGTATTTATTCATCCAATGTAAATTGACGCTGTAGCACGCGTTTCCCTCTTACTTACAGAGAACTGTTTTCTCCCACCATACTGTGACTCTGTCAGTTCTTCTGCTCCATCTGTAAGTAGCGAGAACAGCAACGTTATGTTTATGTTGCAGCTGAGAAAAGAGACCGTCTCAGGCCAAATTACCAGGATGCTTCAGTGAGTCATGTAGGGCTGGGAAGCCTTCTTCTCCTCTCTCTAAGGGGCAAGATATTTTGCAAAAGATAAGAAATTACTTATAAGCAGAAGAGTCTGAGCATAAAGAATATGTTCAGTAGGACTAATAATATGCAGTGCTTGAAAAGAATTAATGATGCTGGCAGTCTTTTTTTTTTTCTTCCATTTTAAAAGGTCATGCTACTTGATGCTATCACAGCTCTTTCAAGCTAAAGATCATTCTTTTGTTTTCTGTTTCACCTTCCAGCTCTTATTTATCGTTTTGCTCATATACCTGACCAAAACCACCTATTTAGATTGCTAAAGAAAAAGAATCTATGTGTAAGATGTGATTCCAGGCTGTTAGGTTCCTATAGGCAATTCTTCATCAAGCTGTTCGAAACACTACACCCTCCTTTCTCTCTCTTGACTAAACCTACAGACAGCGCAGTGAATGCAAGATGGCGTTTATGCAGCTTTCTGTCACATTACCTTGAGTTTTCTTCAGTTAATTTCAATAACTACAGTTGCTGGTTCAGGGCCAGCAATGTGCTTCACCTGCTTTCTGAATTCTGGAGAAACCAAAAAAGCTCTGAAATTGTCTCCTGGTGGCAGCTGGAGTTATGCAAGCAAGCTTTGGCAGGCCACGTTGTCCGGTCATGCTAGGTCTGGTCATTCCCTGTATTGACCTTATAGAGCCACTGACACCTGGGGAAAATGCCTCCCCTTCTGCTCGTTATGTGATGCTAAATGTGTGCTTACCTGAATGACACAAGTTGGCAAGGAGTTAAGCATAACTTATTTAAGGAGATAGGGTTGATGTGGGAATAAAGATCCAAGTAAGGACCCGAGAGAATGAGTCTCTGCAGAGCTTTGGTTGGCCTCTTTACTTTCTTCTCTTTCTGATGTGGGAGATGGAGCGCTTGCTTACTCGTAACCAAAAGACATGCTGAGGGATAAGGACATAAACTGTTCTTATCCTTGAGGTACAGGCTGTGTGAGAGCTGGGGCAGCTATAGTAAATGATACCATTGCTTCAATCCTCTCCTTTCACCCTAAGGTATTTTTATGAGGTGAGCAGAACTCTGGTTTTATGAGAACTCTTCAGTGCTTGTTCTGTGGAAGGTGGCAGCTAGCTGTTGAAGAAATGGTGACATGGAGAAAAGAGGACTTCTTTTCCTCTCTTATCAGGTAGGGGATAAACAGCAGAAGGAGGGACTCCCAAGGGAAACAAAAAGAGCTCATTTTGCAAAAGAACAAACAGGCTCCAAAAGCAGAATAACTTTCTGCGTTTCCCGGCAAGATTATATACTTCTATCGATACCACTACACATGGCTATTTTTTTTTGTACCTCAAAAAGCAATAGTGTTCAAAAGCTCACAGCGTTGTGAAAGAGCCCAAGAAGCTAATTTTTTTTTTTTTCAGTATATTAACTGTAGCAGGAAATGTCAGTATTGGTGACATACAGCTGGGCAGCTAGGGTTGCCCAGAGAGAGGTAGCGGAGGCCCTGTCCCTAGGAACACTCAAGGCCAAGGTAGATGGCGTTCTGAGCAATGTGAGCTGGTTGAAGATGTCCCTGCTCACTGCAGAGGGTTTGGACCTAGATGACCTTTAAGTGTCCTTTCCAACCCAAAGCATTCTATGATTTTGTGAACTTGGCATGGGGTGGCAAGGGTGCCCAGCTCTCCCTGCTCACCCGCTGAGGAGCAGGTGCTGCCCAGGATTTTCCTGCTGTCTCAAGGTCTCCATCCACCCTGCCCGTTTCTCTGCCTGGCGTGGGTGGTGCTCCGGAGGGCACTGGTGCTGTGCCATCAGCAGGGAGGAAGCCCATCCGCAGAGCTGGAGAGCACTTCTTTGGTTTCCTAAAACTTTACGGTGGCTGAAGTGGAAAAGGGAAACCTGCAGGGGATGCAAAGGCAAAGCAGCGGCTCATTCTAGAAGCTGTGCCTGGCACTACCCCTGCTGCTCTGCAAAGCTCAGGCGCCAGCACTGTCCCCCCCCTCTCCTGGAGGGAGCTGTGGCGCTTGCTAGGGCACCCAGCATCGTGTGGACCTTCTCCTCCACTCAGTCGTGCCTTCTGCAAGAGCCCTGAAACCTCATCACAAGTTGCAAGAGATTTGCAATTATAAGATGTTGAGATCATGCAATTCCAAACTAAATACATATTAGATACACAAAAGAAACAAAAAAACAAGATTACTGATTTTTTTATGAAGAGGAAAAAGCGTAATCCTGAGCCAAGGATGCAACCAGATTCCAAGAGGCTGGAAGATCACTGTTACCTCAGCGGTGATTTCGGAGCCAGCCAAGAGCTTCATTCAGGTGGTTGCCGTTCCCCACTGATACTTTCTGGCTTCTGCTTATTTTAAATGCAGTAGTGTTTGTTTTTCTTGCATGCTCAGGTATTTCATACCCTGCAGGATCACCCATTCCTGAAGGGCAAAGGGCTGGAGGGCTGCAAAACTGGGAGGTCCTAGCTGCCATAAGCCTGTCAAACCTTCCTTTCCTCCCTCTAAGTAAATATTGCTGTGGCAGTCAGATGAACTACTTGAAGCTGATGTAAACTGAGCTGTGACATTCAAATACAAGTACTGATTAATACTTCCCTTTGGACTTAGACTTTTTGAACTGCTTCAAAAAGAAGTCAGTGAGCTGAGGTAACATTGACCTGTTGCTCAAGTTTTTTAGGGGCTAGTATTACTTCAGTGATTTCAGTAGCATCGTACCTGTGCAAGCACGTTCAGGCCTGGGACCTGCATAGTTAAATACAAATTTTGTGCGTTGGGAGAACTTCCGTGAAGTGGAAGAGTAGGGAACATTGTTGGTAGTTTTCATAGCAGGCAAAATTCTGATTTTATTAAAATCAGCAGGAGCTTGGGCATTGACTTCTCCAAGGGAGCAGTGGTTTGCTGTAAGTTTAGTATTTCCATTTCATTCTCTTCAGTGAGCAAATTGGTGCTGTTATGGTATTCCGTCTTTTCTATTTTTAATTATCCATATTTAGGTAGAAGATATATACAGTTTCCATCTGCCTAGTACTTACTTTGCCTCTGTTTCTCATGGCTATGGATGTTATATCAATGCTTACTCCTGCATTTCAAAAATTCAGGCCAAAACATTAAAAAAGCCTTACCCAGCAGTTTGGAAACTTCCTAAGGTTGCAAACTCTAGTTAGCCGCTAGAAGCCGTCTGGGTAAGAGGCAACGTGAGCCCTTGAGGGATGCTGGCTTTTCCAACCTGAGGTATTCTGCTTTTTTCAGTCTCCGTGGTAGCACGCGGGGAGCAGGCACCCTGCCAGTGGGAGGGAATGTTTCCTGCAGCACCTTTCGTCTTGTGCTGCGCCAGGATGCTGAGGGCCTTGGGTTCACTTGAGCTGGGTCACCGCGTGTGACTCTCCAAACCAAGAAAAGAGCCTGGTAAAAAAAAAAAATAATGAAGGAGGGTCTTTCCTGGGCTGTTTTGCCTCGTGTCATCCGGAGAGTTTGTAGCGAGCTTTGGTCTCCTGCCACATCGATAACGAACTGCTTTGCGCAAAACCTCTCGTTGCAGGTGGGAAGGATGAGCTCCTATGCTGACATCTGTGGGTCCAAGCACGCACAGGGCAGCACCGAGGGAGGGTACCAGCGCTATGGAGTTCGGTCCTACCTGCATCAGTTTTATGAGGACTGCACAGCTTCAATTTGGGAGTATGAGGATGATTTTCAGATCCAGAGATCGCCTAGCAGGTGGAGCTCTACGTTCTGGAAGGTACTGCCCGTTGCTCTTTACTGGAGAGGGAAACTCCCATTTCAAGGCTTTCCCATGTAACTAATGGTTGTAGGTGTTCATCCAGAAAGGCCTGCTGTTGCTCAGTTTTCCCTGAGATAACTGAATAGCTGTCTGTCTGAAAGCAGGGCCCTCTTACCAAGATACAGCAGCTTCCAAGGGACTTCTAGGGTCTTTGGATCCTCTAGTTTCTCTGTCACAAGGGGCTGTGCCACTGAAACATCAAAGTCTTGTCTGGGAAACCCCACCGGTAGCTTGAAAGTGTGGTTTACCTCTGCTCTGCACCCACAGTAGTCCTGCTAGATCGTTGGGAAAAGAACTGGTAGGTTAACAGCAGTAACTCTGGGACCGTGTGACTGAGGGATCAAGAAAACCACCAGATCTCCACTAAGGTGAGGGAACTTGACAGAACTGGAGAACACGGGAGGTTGGAGGGGGATTGTGAAGTGACCTAATCCAACCCCTCTGCTTTGATGGTGGGGCCATTCTGTGTGAACCAAATATTGCACTGGCACTTGAAATGCGCTAGAAACAGTCTGTGATCTGTTCGTGGCAATAGCAGCTTCCTCCTAACCCCATCAGAGGAATGACATTTCACGGAGTAAAAGCAAGTCATGGATTTGACACAGACTGGCAGCAGGGACTGAACAGTTGGTGCTAATGGCCACCAAAAGCTAAAGAAATAATCAGTCACGCAGCGCTGGGGTTAACCTGTGATCCTCTCTGTGATGGGGCCTTTGGACATGAAATGCTATTTAGACATATAGATGCGTATTCCGTGGTTTCCAGAAATGTCAATACTGAATTATGTAAACATGAGTTGTAAAAAGACAGTTTCTCTATATTCTAGTTCTAGAGGGGCCACATATGACCCAAAAGCAAAATACCAGCCCTCTCCTAGAAGAGAGAGCTGTACCTGCAAGGCACGATGAGAGCTAAATGCCTCCTAGGACCACTTAACGACTGAAAACTGGGAAGGCGTATAAATTGGGTTTTCTTCTTTCTTTCTTTCTTTGTTTTCCAGGTCGGACTCATCTCTGGGACGGCTTTTATGCTGATAGGTTTAACCGTTCTTGTAGTAGGTTTTCTTGTGCCACCGAAAATCGAAGCTCTTGGGAAAGATGATTTTGTGGTGGTGGATACCCGTGCCGTTCAGTTTAATGGGTCCCTTGACATATGCAAGCTGGCAGGAGCAATCTTGTTTTGCGTTGGAGGGTCCACCGTGGCAGCGTGTCTCCTGCTGTCTGCTTTTGCTAAAAGTTACTCCAAAGAAGAAAAGTACCTCCAGCAAAGATTTAAAGAGAGAATCGCCGATATAAAAGCCCATGCAAACCCAGTCACAAAAGCGCCAGCACCAGGAGAGTCAAAGATACCTGTCACCTTGTCCAGAGTTCATAATGTCCAGCCTTTATCTGAAACCTGACCTGTTCCTTAGGTTGTGTTTCTCCCTTGTAGATCAGTTTAAATGGAAAATATCAGCTGTTGTTGGCATACGTGCTAGTCAATGACAACATCGAGTGCTCTGCTATACAAACACACAGCTGACAGGGAAGCTGCTCCAATACAAATTTAGGATTGGGAAAAGGGAAATTATGCGATTAGACCGGCGACCGATATATTCAATGTATTTGAACATTTTAATGTGTTGAACCAATGAGTCCTTGCAACAACACTTAGGTGTTTAGCTTCTCAGATTGCATCCCTGGAAAACAGAGGGTGCGTTGATGGCAGCTGTACCAGGAACAACCTCCATCCCGCTGTTTGAGGTTTAGATGAGTTTAGGCTTTTTGTTTATTTTTCTTCTTGCCTTTAAGATACTGTTTAGTCCTACTTCTGCCGCCTGGTTCTGCTGTCTGGGAAGCCAAGATTCTGCCCTTGCAATTTGCACTTGTCCTCCTGTCACATGCTACAGTCTGTATCAAAGTAGTGTTACTGCACGGGTAAAACGTACATGACAGTGAGTGCCCTGAATCTCATCCTGGCACGTGCCGCTGCCCGGCAGCGCTGCTTGCTGGGAAAGGCAAGTTGGGCTTGGTCCTGAGTTACAACTAACCTGTGCAGAGCTGCCGCTTTGCTCTTAGTCGTTGCCATATTAATGAAAAATACAAAAGAAAGATTAAGAATTCGTATGGGAGGAGGAACATCGTAATTGTGTGTCTTTGGTTTGAAATTGTTTCTTTCATTATATTTTATTACGTTTGAAGATTATAAAAAATGTTTCAGTTTGGCTGGGTATGGATTACTAAATGTGGTTTGATGTGCCCAGGCCCAATATTCTGTCAGTACATTAATGCCGTGTTAGATGACCTTGACATGCTTACCTAAAGACATTTTGAAATGCTGTTTATATTTTTATAGAGGATAGAAAAAGTTATGCTTAACCAGATACATTTGTGTCAACGCTTACCTGAAGACTTGTCCTCTCACGGAAGATCCTTAATTATTTTCCCACCCAGGGCAATTATTTCACTGTCTTAATATATGGATTTAAATTAAAATGTATAAAGAAAGATGTGACATTTGTACTCTCTGACAATATGTGCCACCTGATAGTTCTGTCTATTTTTTGAATGGATTGAATAAAATTCTAGGCGTGAGCCAACCGTGGATTTTGTGCAAAGTCTCTTTCTAATCAAGCAGGTTTCTCTCTAAATTTAGTATTTCAGTGTGAAAGGAGAAATCGGCAGTGGAAACTCACCAGTCTCTTTACGTAGTCTGTGTTTTCAGCTTTGATAGGTCACTTTGGTGCTGAAGAAAAAAGATTTCAGCGCCCTGACAACAGGTACAGGGTAACAGCTGTGCTCTGCCGTTTGCTGTAAAACATTTTCTCATCTGTGCCTCGGTTCATACTTCTGCAACCTAAATAAACCAGAAAGTACAAGTGTGGCATCTTCAGCTGAACATGCAATAATTATCATGGCTGACAACAGCTTTGGAAGTCAAATTTTCTTCTGAAAAGGAAGTGCCTACATTCGCAATGCAGTTGCAGTGTCCAAACATCAGCACTGAAGAGATGGACAAGCAAGAGCTGCTCACATGCCAACGATCACCGAGAATGGAACCGAGCAGGTTGTGGTGCAGCTGACAATTCCCTGGCACCCATAGATCAGAAGCGCAGAGCACATTGCATGCCATGCTGAAAAATAAGGTTGTAATCTCCATGGAGCAGCAGCTGAGGCAGCGCTAAGGAAAAGATGAAAAGCTGGGTAAGGTGAGGAGCTGTGTGTTATTTGCAAAGCAAGCCAGCAAGAGCAGGGCTGATGGGTGGCTGTGGTTCCTCACAAGGCAAAGGCCCGGATGGGGACACGGGGGCAGGCAGGCTGTCACTGCTGCTGTTCGGTAGCACTTCCAGGTGGAGAGGTTCCTCAGCGCTTGCATTTCATGTTGGGAGGAATTTTGTTTACTGCTGTTCGCTTTCACCGCTGTCGGGCTGTCGGTGCACAGGCAGCAGAGAGTCAAGCTGTCCTGACCTTTTCCAGTGGAGCGTTTTTAATTAAAAGTTGTGCATGGAGGAAATGTGACATTTTAGCTTTCATGGTGAGGTTTACCGAAGGAGATCAGAGTGAGGGCTCCTGTGGCAGTTACCGAGCCCCTTCTCTCCACCTACCTTTTGTTAGCACCGTACTGGAAGTTTGACTGAAAATCCAGCTGGAAAACAAAGCACAGGTTGGGCTTGTTTACCCAGAGTAGCTATGTGGGTATACAGTTCTCCTTCAAACACAGCCCACGTGTCGACACAGAGGTGCAAGTGTCAGTAGGTTTTTGTCCGGAGGCCGGCTGACCCGATGGGTAATGAATAGAAACAGGTAATGACTAGAGCTGATGCAGATGCCAGGCATTCAGCCACGCTGCGCATCCCACTGCAGAGCGGAGCAGGCTTTGACAGTACGAGGAAGGATGAGTCATGCGTGGCATTACCCAGGCGTCAGGGAAAGAGAGAAACCCTCGAGGATCTCACTGAGGCTTGCTGGGGTAGGAAGTGCAGTTGGGATTTGTCATCAGCAGCAAAGCTGGTACCGCTGGCATGGCTAACGTTGCCACACACCTCACCTCATCAAGCCTTTGTTTCAGCTCCTTAGAGCTTTTCCAGAAATGAGACCTTTGGAGGCAGCGATCCTTCGCAGCAGAAAATCGGTGACACGTAGGGCTTTTGTAGAAGTACTGAGCAGAAAATTACTCTGCTACTGTTAAGAAGCCGCATACTGGAAGGTTGAAGACACATGAGGAACATTTTCAAGATCCCTTTTCTTGCAATGTTTTAAACACCTTCATCCTTCGGTACAGGAACCGAAGACTCAGCGAAAGAGCGGTGGAGATGTGATTTTTGCTGTTCTTGTGGCAAACGCCTGTGATGCAGCCTCTGGCGGGGCAGCAGTGAGGGGCAGCCAAGCTCTCCAGGAACTTTCCAGTGAGGCTGAGGGCAGTCTGTCCCTGCACATCTCATTTCCCTACCGTGCATTTTTTTTTCCCTTTTCCCATCACCACCAAATTGCGACACAGGCTCCACTCTGGGGCTGCCTGGAACTTCCCCTGCTGCCACTGGCTATCATCACCTTTCCAAATGGCACCTTAATGGACTCCCTAGCGCAAATAAAATTAGGCTTGAGCAGCCAAGCTCTGCTTTTTGCAATCCTCTCACCTCCCTGCTCGAGGTTTCTTTCAGTTTCTTCATGCTCACCTTATTTCTTGCCCCTTTTCTAGCCTCATTTGGCTTAAAATTACAGTGCAACCGTAGTGCAACACCATTTTCTCTGCAATTGTGGTGAAAGAAATCCCATTTTTCAGGCTGAGTGGTTATCACTGACTTCACTTTTGCTAATACCTGCTCTGCTGAAAGGTTAGGTCTGCTGCCTGTGCCACACTGTGTAGAACAGGCTTCACTTCAGCATCTTCCGTCCTCCCTCCTCCAGGCTGCCTTGACCCCTGTATCTTCCATTTGTTCCCAGTGCACGGTGAGTCACAGGCGAAGGCAGAGACGCGGAAGCGTCCCCTCCTCCCGAGCTGGCTGTAAGCAGATTTAATTCCTGGTTTCTGCTGCAGCCCCAGCCTGCCATTGCCGAGTATCAGATTTTCAATCACGTGCGAGTGCAAGCAAACAGCTGCAGCATCCCGACCAGCGGCCAGCGGAGAGACGTTTGGCAGGAGGAGAGCAGCGGCAGAACCTGGAGGTTCAGCACCCAGGAGGCTGTTCAGCCCCCAAGGATGTGAAATCCAAGCGAGACAGCAAAAGACTGCAAGAACCTTCCCTGGATGTAGTTTGCCAGCAGCTTTCTATCAAAGGGCTAACAGCAGAGCAACAATTTTGGTAAAATAAAGGAGTTAACTCTGGCTCGTTCAGCACTGACCGGTCATCCCGGCCATTCACCGCCCGGTCGGCCCCTC